TATATATATATATATATATATATATATATATATATATATATATATATATATATATATATATATATATCCTTGGATGACATTTACATTAATTTTTAATGCAATCTGAAATGGATGCTAGTCGGAGGGCCAAATTGAAACTAATTTATGACATTCAAAGTACAATATAAGAAAAATAATCTTTCGAAGTATACAATGGAAATTGAGACATTTTTCGGGGTGTATCATGCAAAAAACCAAAACTACAAAGCAACTAGAAAAAATTTTCATATAAAACAAGGTTTACTATAATGCGAACCTTACGAGCTAGTAAGCATTGGAGTTATGGAGATTTACGAGCTGAAGCACACTTGCATACCAAAGTGATCATGTGGGACAAAATAAGGTATCATTTGCTAATACTTTTTTAGGTGATTTTTTTTTTTTTGCTCTTTTAAAGTAGTGTTTGTTTTAAGATTTTTTTTTCCCTTATCGGGGCTTATTAATGACTCTCTTCATCTAACCTTAATAACGTCTATAGTAATATGTGTATACAGTATACATGCATATAAAGTGTATATATTTATGCACTAAAATACATCTAGATCAAAATAGTTATCATACATTTTTTTATTTTTTCATGAAATTAATTTTTGTTTAAAAAAGCTTGTAAATGAAAGTATTAAAAAATTGTATATTAGGTCGTACCCGCTTTGAAACTAAAATATATTGGATATTTTATAGAAGAATCGATAAAACCTTAAATTGAGCTGGGTAACGGATATCATAAGTTACTGTAGTAGAGCTCAAACGCTCAGTAAAAAAGAAAAAGAAAAAAGAGTTATTTATTATTCTGGATTCTTGGTCTTGAATTGACAGCTAATCTATAATAATAAGACATAGAAGAAAAAGTGAATTGCTTTGTCCTCATTAATGTAAGCTTGGTTGTTGAAGAAAGAACAATAAGGTATTGGCTAGGAGTTGATTGTGGGTAAATAAAAAAATAAATCTTAAAACTCTTCAAAGTTGAAAGCTAGACTAGTCAAAATACTCAATCTTAAAACTGTTATGCAAAAGTCCTGGTGATACGTTTTTCAAAATTTCTCATTTCTAACCCACCATTGGAAAAGGGAGAGGGTTGATTGAAAAACCATACATTACATTTGAAGTTGGAAATTTAAAGGCAACAGAAGTTAGAATCCCATGTGTTTGTTTTACCATTATGCTTATGTTTGTCTTACAAAATGGACAAATTCCGTGTAACGAGAGATGAGGTTTGTCTACAAGTAGGGAAGAGCAAAAAAAAAAAATTAATAATAATAATAATAATAACAACAACAACAATAATAATAATATAGCTAATAATAATAATAATAATAATAATAATAATAATATAGCTAAAATTTGATATCAAAAAACGTATAAAATAACATAGGTTAAAAGGGGGTGCTGCTAGTAATTAGTAGATGTATGGGAGTTTAGGATGAAAAAATGGAAAAAATGAAAAGTTGAACGACTTAGTCTTCTTTTCACCTTGTTGAAATTTATCATTTCTAAATTGGCCCAAAAAGTGAAAAGAATGGTAAATATATACGTTGAAATATAGATTATTTACTTTTATACTATTTGATAAAAGCTTGAACAAAGTTTGTTTATCAGATGAGCTGATCCAAGTCAAGTTTAAACATTATTTTTGGTTGAATTTTTTTTGAAAAGTAGACGAATTAGTCTTCTTTTCACCCTATTCAAATTTATCCTCTTTAAATAGGGCGCAAAAGTAAAACGAAAGATACGCATATGTGTTGAAATGTAGACTATTACTTTTATAACCTTTGATAAAAGTTTAAGTAAAGTTTGTTTATCTGATGACCTAAGCCTAGCTTAGTTTAAACACTATTATCATATGACAAATTAAGTTTCAATCGTCTAATGTTCGGTTGGATTCATTTGCACTGCTCACAAATAGTCACCCAATACCTAATATTCACCCGATATAATGAGCCCATAGGAAGATTCATACAGGATCCACCCAATAGTCACCCAATAATTGACCTCCAAAACGTTTACAACCCCACAGAGATCAAATTGAAATTTAATTTACTGCTACATGTGGCTTATAATGTTTTTCACATCGAGAAATTCTTACAGGACATTTGTGAAACAACTGGTTGACCAAATAATCAGTAAAACTTATTTGAAATATAATGTTTTTGCTTAAGGAGACAAGCAAATCAAACTGGACTTCAAATCATGAGACTTGTAAGACTGAGCATAAAGAATGTATGATAGTTAATAGAAGCAACAGAGTAACACCAAAAAGTGAAAATGATAGACCATGAGCTGTTGAAATAATTATGCTTTAATTTGGCCATTCATCTGTGTCGATGACGTTTGCAGTGCTCGTTAACTCTGTTGAAAACTTTCGAGTAACAAAAAGTTGTAGAATTTATGATGACATTATTGCCAAATTTGTTCAACATGGTCAAAATGACTTCTTCATCGCCTAACCAATTAATAATAATCCCATAGTCACGTAGTTTTTCGACATCCTTGAGAGAATTGACGAGGCAGTCTAAAAATGTCACATAATCAGTCACATAAGTGGATTCAGTTCTGCCATTATATTGCTCATATGCTATCATATTTCTAAAGAGTAACTCGGTGCCATCATGAATGGTGACAAAGTAAAATCGAGTACCACATCTCCTTCTTTTCTCTTCTCAAAATTTAGTTTGCCCTCCAATTTCAATTTTTAGATAAATTATGCTAATGGGTTAGTTTCATAACAAATGTCGCCTTAATTTTTTTTTAATATAGCTGATCACTATTTTAATGAATAATTAGATCTTATAACTTTTAAATTATGCAATTATAACATATATAAAAATAAGCACAAACGAGCAAAGAAAAGTCTGAAACAATATAATATAAAATCTCGAAAACACAGAGGTGAAAATAAAAAAATAATAATAACTAATACTTGGAAACGGATTTTGAAGAACTAACTTGATGAGCTGTTTAGTCCTCCAAAAAGATGTATGTTCTTAGAAAAACACAAAAGAAAACAAGAAGCCGTTGCTCATGATAGAGAAGGAGAAATAATTCTTTATTTATAGGCAAAGTGCTTGTAAGGTTCAGGTGACCAGGTCGCAATTTGCTTACATGACCTTCTTCTCAATTACCGAAGAATGCAGATTCTCTCACATTCAAAATTTGTCAATTCCATCATTCATACTTATATGGTTTTCTAGAAATTGAAGAGAAATCGAAGGGAAGATGTAACGGAGAAGATCTAGTTTTCTAGAAATTCCATCATTCGTACTCATATTCTTGTTTAGTTTATTCCATTTGCCCCCCTTATATTTTGAAAACTTGTGTAGGGATTCTAGTCTTTTTATTTTCAACAATTTAGTGGTTTATTGGCTCCCTTAAATAAATTATTTTATTTTTTAATTTAGTAAAACAAATATAAAATTTCTTGACCTACATATATATTGACTAGAAATAATACATGTCACCTATCCAATACATTGCCTGCCATTTTTCAAAAACAAATTTTTCGATAAATTAGTAGTCTATAATTCAACAAAATACGTGTAAGGTAAAATGGCATAATCTAAAACTATTTTATGCTATTTAAACAATTAATTTCTTAACATGAAAATAGATGACCTCAATTAGATTTTGCAGCAAAATAAATGATGAATTTCATCACAGAGTTGGTGATTGTGCACATTGAAAGAAAATTGATAAGGAATTCAGCTTATAATTAATCAATGGTAG